AATAAAATATAGATCAATAAAAAGTGAAACAAAATATAGGCATGCTTACATGCTGTACAGCTCTCTCCTGCACGCATGCAAGTTGATGACAGCTGTGGGTATTATCATCTCTGTGCTTCTCTTAATTAAAAATAAAAATTACAAAGCTGCAGGGATCATGAAGAAGAAAATAAAACCAACTTATGCCTGGAATATTATTTTCACTGCCTGTCATTATTGTCAGATTATTAATGCTGTCTATGCCTTTTGTCTCCAGCAATGCTATCTTAGGCCATATTATCAAAACATTATATTAAAAAATGTATTTCTTTTTTTTTTCCCCATGAGCAAGTATGTCATTTCAGGAAGTTCTAAATTAAAAATGTTAGGTTATTTCTTTTTTTAACTCATGTACATTTTTTCCAAGTAATTATGTATCCACAAGTACCAACTGCCACCCTTCAGATAGTTTATGGAATTAATGATGGTAGAGTCCTGAATAAAACACAGCAAGAAGTATTAACTTTATTTATGAGGTCTTGACTGAGATTCCCTGCCTGCTCTGGTCAGATATTTAATCATGCTTTCTTTGTATGCTTCTAATATAGAACAGACCTTTTTAATAAGGTTTATGTATCACTACAGGCAATGATCATTTGATTTGTCTTTTTTATATGAAAAGTATCTGGTTGCATTAATTCTTCTTCATTATAAGATATGATCCTTTTACATTTCATACATATCTAACAATAGAATGTCACTTCTAGTATTAAATATGCTTAAAAGTTGACATATTCCCAAAATCTAATCATCCACTTTTATCTTCAGGAATGATTATACATATCAAAAAGGCTACACTTGCAAGGATCCACATTATTAAGCATCCAAATGAGTGAAATCGATGATAAGAAAATATGTGGATATCAGCCTTCACAAGATTAAAAAAAAAAAAGCAACATCAGTAATATTTAAGAAATGAAATTATCATTGGATTTTGCAAGATGAGCTCCCCTGGTGCGGCAGTTACACAAAGCTTCGTACAACGGAAGGGGCTCCTCTAAAGGCTCTGCTCACTGATCTCCAGCAGAAAAGGTCACAATCTATGTTGGAGGGCTTTTCTGTGGGGCTGAAGGCAGGAAAGACTTGGAAGGAATGAAGAAACATGTCAGAGAGAGTAATAAAATTTTAATAGGTTTTGCATGAGAAGCTGTATAATTGATCCTTTTGTAAAACTGTAAAACTTCCCTTCAATCGAAATACGTTGTTTCACAGCATTTTTATTTTCTACTGACTGTTAAATACCCAGTAACATACATATAAGCAGAGCTTTACTGAGATTGGTAGGACAATAAAATTGCATAAAATTCTTCAGTATAAACTCGTAAGGTTATTTTTCAAAGAGAAAATGGACAGAGGTTAAAAGCAATAAGAAATCACAAAGTATTTCTTAATGGTAAGCTGTCAGATAATAATGCATTCTCTTCTCTTGGACTCTGACTGGATCTTTTCCCTTTCAGAAGGAAAAGCTTTCTTCATTTTCTCATTACTCTTATGGAAGCATGTGGAGATTCAAAGGAAAACTGAAATGCATATTAATAAAAATCATTGAGTAAAATATGCAGTATTCTGGAATAGTGGATTAATCCTGAGTTAAGTCCCCACTTGAGTCACAGTTCCATCAATCTCCACACTAAGGTCACATTGGCTTGCACTCCATTTAAAAGCATTAATCTGAACGTCTACTTTTCTATTTCTCACTGTCAAAGCTTTTGAAACTTCTGACTGAGTAGCAGCATTGAACTTCACACACTGAACTTTACTTTCAGATGAAAATAGCTTCCTGTACAGTTTCTCTTAACAAATGTATCTATCAGTTTAAAACTATAAAGTCAACTAAAGAAAATGCCTATGACAAGCACACAATTTGCAGCTCTTGCTAGCAGTCTCCCCAGGCTGATGGTAGTCATTCATTTTTCATTCCGGCTTCATTCTGCTCTTAGTATGAGAGCTTTGTTACTCTTTTCTAGCTGCACGTTCCTATATAAAATCTGAAATTATGTTCTCATTTATTTGAGATTTGTTCCTGCTAGTGATTTAGAGAGTTGAGCAGAACTACAGTTCTTAATTCTCAGATTTTTCTTTTACAATGAACTTTATGTTTCCTTCTGCATTAATTTCCTTGATACCAGAGTGTGAGTACAGAAAATTATCCCACTAAGAGGCCAACTCTAGCAGCAGGAAAAGTAGGTACTACACGAGGATGACAGCTTGTTTTTGCCTTTATCAGAAAAGAGATGCACTGACTGTTCTGGCCCAGCTGAGTTTTGGTCTCTACTCCATGACTTTGTCCAAAGGCACAAGGAAAGCTACTTTCCATACTTGCTAGATCCAATTACTGACCCTTCTCATCACGCTGAGAGGTTCGTATCAGAAAATAGTGATGGGTGCTGGAAAAGGCGACTGCTTGAGAGGAGGGATGCAGTGAATACAAAATTAAAATTTTATAAGGACTGGGAAAATGCTGGGCCAAAAGAGACAGAGAGGGACCTTACAGTCTCCTGAAACTTGGTGAACTTCCCAGCTCATAATAATACAGTCTAGACTTTCTTCACCAAAGCAATTATCTATTTAAACTGTATCAAGTCTTAATTCTATTATCAATACAAAAAATCAGTACTACTACTATCAAGAAGACCTGATTTGGCTCTAACATAAAAATTAGAGTATTTGGAATAAAGGATTTTACATTCAATAGGCAGCTTCCTCCACCTTCTTTACTGTTTGCCCATGACTTGCTCATTTCACAGAATCACACGGAATCACAGAATGGTCGAGGTTGGAAGGGACCTCTAGAGATCATCTAGTTCAACCCCCCTTTCATGCTTGTCCAGTCGAATATCCTGTTGCTTCAAACTAGATCTCTTTCTGTTGCATTTATACTATCTAAACCACATAACTGAAACATAGGATAATTCAGAAGAGCACAAAAACTGGACAGACTTTAGAACCATCTCTATCAGCTGTGCCCTTCCAAGCCACTCTGTTTTGCAGAAGAGCAGGTCTACGGCAGCGGTAACTCCCATCCCTGTACTACCAGTGGGGGTTCCTGTACTCCAGTTCAGGGATCTCTCAACCATTCACTTTCAAATAATGTTGTTTTCATAGAAATACAAATGCATTTTATTCATACAATATCATTTTTATGTTCCTTTTCCTACAAATACACTGGCTGCTCTTGTCTTAATATCACCTGTGGCATTTCTTTTTTATAAAGGTTCAACTTTGATAGGTATGAAATCAAATCACTTGCCATTAGCTTTTACAGGATGTACACTCCACAGTAGATACGTTCTGACTGACTTTGTGACCTTATCTTAAACTGCAGTCCTTAGTAAGCAATCAGTCAACCATGAACTGACAAAGATCCACCACACCTGGAAATAACTAGAAGTAAACAAAAAAAAGGAATCCTCACACCTAAGAAATATTTACTGAAAGGAAAATGATTTTGCCTGAGATCCCAGAATCTGTTTATTCTAGTTGATTTTGAGAGAAGGAGACTTGCAGAGCAATACCAGTAACACCAGACGTTAATCAAGCCTTTAAAACAAAAAATAACAAGTTCGAGGAGGGTAGTAGGAGAAGAGAGGGAAATTCCCTTCAGAAGAAAGGGAATCTTGATCGCAGCAAAAGATATAGGCAATGGCTGCAGAGGACATGTTGAGAACAACTCTAAGCTTGAGGAGAAAGTGTGACTTGCAGGACTGCCCTCCAAGGCCCTGCCATCCTGAGCCATCAAGAACGCCTGGACAGGTTGAAAGATGATCAGCTAATGCTGCATACCCAAATATGATCTTACTGTAGTACACATGCCTTTTATGCATACATTTTTTGATATGTGTTTGCCTTTTATGCTATCATTGCCTTCAGAAGTTCTTCTCGAAATCTCTGTTTGTATGTTTCAGGTACAACATACAGGTTTTAAGATGGACCATTCCAATGCCCAAAATGACAGGGACTGTGATAAATGAATTTTACAGTGTGTCCCATCTATTCAGAAATCTGCAAGACTGGTTGAATATCTTCTTATGGTCAGCTGCCGGCATACATGTCAAGGAAATCTCCTGCATGACTGGGAGAAAGTTTACCACATCGGCCTTCCCTTCTGGATCCCCCCATGAAATAAGCTCATAAAACTCTGCTTATCATTTTACCTAAGAAAAGATGGTATTTGTGTTTTGCACATAATAGAAGCTAAATCAGCTAGCTATTTCCCAACTCAGTGTAAGATGTTTTCTCAGATATCATAGCAACTGCAATTTTTAAATTGTTTTTCATGAGGCACACTAGGGTGCCAAAAAAACCCTAACACGCTGCCTGTAAAGTTACCTACAGAAGATACCAAATGACATTTTAACAGAGAAAAGTGTCTGAAGCCAGTGTGTAGGTCAAACAAATCAACTTCATTTGTGCCATTCTGACTGGCTCAACCACAGATGACACGATGTTTTCCCCCCGAGTCAGTTTGCTGACTGCCTCCTTCAAAAATTAATTGAAATAAGTGCATCCTATAATTTGAAATGAAATAGGCTCAGCAGGTGAGTAAGTTTTGTCAAGACTGATTACTGAGTATTGATTTTTCACCAATTGTACAAGTTACGCTCCATGAGGCCACCTTCATGTCAACCTACAATACATAAAATCACCTCAGGCTAATATCCACTGAAAGGTTTTTATTTTTAGAGGATTCAGAAGAAAACACAGTGCCACAGTCTCCAGCTTGGTTTTTTTGCCACACATTCAGTGGCATTTATCTGGACAGCATTCACACATCATACTTAATTCATCAATAACATCGGATAATTTCTGTTCTGATTCCCCAAAAATTTACGGCAATGTCCCAAGACAAACTTCCTAAACCTTATTTCTAAGTTAACTTTAATAATTGTACAAATATTAAATTAGATTCTCCCATGATATGAAAGAAACAGGTGCCTCGATAAAGTGACAGAATAACTTACTGGGGCCTGGAGGCTTCTGCTTGGTCTGTCTGAAGCTTCTCTCCACCTTCCACTTCCATAGTGCAGTAAACAATCCGATTGGGAGCTACTGACTTTAAACCTTGCACTTCCATTATAACAATCTGTAGGAAAGAAAGCAAATAGCTTATCCATCCCATTTCAGAACACATTACATGGCACAGACATCGCAGGATTAAGCTTCATAAAAGAGAAAGAAAAAAAAAACCCAAATCTTCACAGACACAGAAGAATTTTAGTTTGCCTTCTTTGCCTTCCTTTGCCTTTCCTAATTTCAGCTACACACACAAAGAATGGAAAATGATGCTCTGTTTCTACTTAGACAACATCAGAAAACTCCCTTCAATCATAATTCAAATGCTAATAGCTCCATCAGGCGTTTTATGACATGTGAAGAATAGATGCTTCAGTCTAAAAATCTTAATATATTTATTTTGTCAAAACTCTCAGACAGGTTCTGGGATATACAATAATTTGTGAAGAAAATACACAATTATATAATTTTCTGAGATATTATGTTATTTGATGAACACTCTTCCCTTCTATAAGTGAGTGTCTCCTGTTCTCAGTGAACTCAGGATCTGAATGTTGATGGCGCTGAATGCACTGAAAAAAATTCGTGCAGCAAAGTAGAGATCGTAACCTTTGAATTTCAGAAATGATTTGTGCTGTCCTGAGCAGAAGACAGGTCAGAGCCTTGCCATTAGTGGCTGTAATTTCTTCCCAATGCTTTTTCCTTCTCACAGCACACTCCGTGCAGTCAAGTTTGGTGCACATATCCCCATATGAAGATGGGAAAAAGCCACCTCTCTCAGCTGTGTCCTGGCTAAGAAACTTCCTCACTGGGGAAATTTTGAGCTTGGCAAACCCACAGGTTTTCAGCTCCTCTGAGCGACTCAGTTATATCTCAGAAGAGCCAAATGCAGTCTAACTTCAAGTGCTCTCGGCTTTTTATAAACATTGCAGTTTGACATAGTGTGAAATTATTGGAATTTTTACACTTCAGATGTTTCCAACTCAGAGAAGAATTGAAAAGAAATTCAAGTTTTCCAGCTTGCTTTTGGAAAGCTGCTTTCCTTTTTGGCCTCGTTTTGACTGATGGGAAGAATCTAGAAAAATGATCTTCATTTGATCTTTAGAAAAGCTATCCTCAGGTGAACTAAACATGAAATACAGAATACTTGTTTGTTTTATAAGTATCAAAAAATAATGACTACTTTTGGTCTAATCAGAAATAATCAGTTTCTTAGATCAGCAAGCACTTATTCTTACCTAGCACCATCGTAATGGTCAGGCCTTGCAAAACTGCCTGCGTTGAATAACATTGCCATGAGATGATAGTCATTGGCCATTTAGAGCAGTTTTAAATTACCCATATCAACATCACCTGTTATTTGCTGTAAATAATAACAGCAATTCAAGGACAATGATGTAATCATCGCTCTTCTTTTCCATCCTTTGTGACCTAAGATTTCAGGTAGTTAGAAAAGTGATCAATAATCACTGAAAGACTGCAGAATAACTTCTAGCTCATACTTCCTATACTGCCATTCTACTTGCCAAATGATTTTCCTTGTTGAAAGCAGACTTCATGTTTATTCATTTTTATCCTGATATTTTTTCCCTCGAGTTTCCAGTTTAATTGGACAGCACATTTGTCTTTGCTAGCATTTGTGGATTATAGGAATTGAAAAAAAATGCATTCATTACAAACAAAATTGTCACCAGCTGATTAACGTGCTCATTAGCTGATAAACGGCTTTCTAAATATTATCTCTTTCTTTCTCAAACTGTCCAACAGCTTAAGAACATAACTGAGTAAAAATATATTCTCCGTTATCATTCTGATATTTCATTTATTTTACAAAGTTCTGAAAATAGGCTATATGACGAAATATTCAGCTTTCAAAAAATGGTCATTGTTGCTTGCAGTGAATGCTTCTTATCTGTGAATAATTCTTATCTTAGGGACAGTGAGGTCTATTCCCATTAGAATTTTATAAACATTACAACATACTTTGCCGTTCTGCCTTAATAATGACATGTAGCAGCAGCAGGAAATCCCTAATTTTCATTTCATTTGGGGGAGTTAATGTTTAAAAATACCAGAGGTCCTCTTCACTCATGCACCTGTGCAGCAACCGTCAGAAGGGATTTTTCTAATCATCACCAAGCTCATGAGATAGGCATGCAGTTTAGGGGTGCACAGGAGAAGGCTACAAGGTGTTTTGCAAGGTTATAGCCCCCTTTCCTGAATGCCATCACATAAATTAAAGAGCTTAATCAAGGATTATCTTGATAATCTTATTTGTGTATATGTTCTCATAAAGGCCTGTTGAATAATACATGTGCATGCAATGCAAACATGCACACACAAGTCCTCTACCAAATTTTGTCTTGAGATTCCCATCAGACAAAAAATATTAAAACTGTTGATAACACCAGCCATACAAAAATAGTCTGCAGTAAAAAAAAAAAAAAAAAAAGAGATATTTTAAAATCTAAGTGAACAAATAAATAAAGGAATTCTAGCCTGAGTAATAGTTTTGATATACTCCCCACAGCTCACTGGTATTCATTTTTCTCAGAAACATTTGCACTAATTTTGAGTAGATGCAGGTGGATTTCCAAAGGAAAATATATTTCCCCCAAAGATTAATTATCATTGTTATAATAGACTGCCTAGAATATACTTTTTATGGGATTGAAAACAAGAAACAAACAAAATATAAACAGAATAAGTGAAATGGTAGCCTACACAGTGAACAAGTAATTCAGTGATTAAGTATTTATTTCGGAAGGCGGGTAGTCTGCTAAAACTCAGCAAACTAAACACAATATTGTTTTTACCTGAGTGTAGGTGCAGTGTGAACACTAGGAAAGGAAGAAAAAAAAAAGATAGCTGTGCACAGCTATTATATCACATAACTAAACTATGTACTGAGGACCAGATAGCACTGCAGAGCAGAGGAGGCCAGAAGAAGGGGGGAGGACGGGAGGGCCAAAACGAGACATTTCTTGGGGTCAGCCCCGGGCCTCGCTGAGCCAGAGAGGCGGGAGCTGCAGCCACGCAGCCAGTGCGTGACCAGGCAGTTCATTGGGCGGCCAGCGCGTGACCAGGCAGTTCATTGGGCGACCTCGCACAGGATCCCCTCGCTGATTGGCTGGCTGGTTGCTGGGCTCGGCCTGCTGCTGGGTGGGGCGGGGCCTGTAACCAGTGTTTGAATAAAGGCTCCTCCTCGCGCTCACAGGGACCCTGCGCCTCAGTGCGCCCATGGGCGTTAGGGTCATTCTCATTCCCAGCAAAACTTCAGTTTCTAGGCAGTGTGAGAGATGAGTTAATCAAACTTACTGCAAATGACTGACATGATAGAATTGGGGTGGAAGGGAATAGGGAACTATTGTAATTGCCTGAAAGCTGCACAGATTTGACATGTTATTGCACACAATTCATTGCCATTGCACAAAGCTTTCCAGCAAGGCATGGACGTGTTGCGGCATAGAGAACAAGCTGACAAAAATTTCCACAGAACTGCATCTGATTTTAGGCTTTATTTTCCTTTTTAAAAAAGGGACATATCATTGATTATGGTGTCTTTCACTACTGGATGCTACGTGAGCATGGTGGGGATAAACAGTATGATGTCCAATGTACATAAAGAAAGCAAAAAACACACTAATACATAGTAAGTTCTGATGACTAATTTTTCATCGCGCTTTGGTTTGTTTTTTTGTTGTTTAGTTTTTTTTTTTCCTCACTATATTAAACATAATAACTAAATTTCTTTTAACTGAAATATTTGGCATAAGCACCTATTACTTTCTAGGTACTTCAAAATTATTCCTTGTTATGGATACTTATGGTATCATTCAGGAATCTGTATTCAACTTCAGAATGACAAATTGTACTACTCTTTGAAAACTCATGTTCGGCTTTTGCATTATTAGATAGCAGTATTAAAATTGTACACAGTAGAAGAAATCAATCGATTATGCTTACATAGAGGATCTAATCTTCCATGGCTGTCCCAGTTATATCTGTAAGTCAAAGGCCCTTGCTACAGTAGTACTCGGTATTTTGTGTTATACATATATATATGTATATATATATATACATATATATTTGGTATAAAATAAATGTGGTACCTTCTGATTGACAAATACTCTGACAATATTTTGATTTTACTATTCCTCAAAATCAATATTTCTCAATATGAACATTTTCAGAACTAGACCTAAGCTGTGATTCTATAATCACATGTGTATGACACCTAGCTGTATTCTGTGGTTTCCTCATTAAATCAGTTGAGCTTTATATGGATTAGGACTCGATTCCCATAGGTCATTTTTCCTGCTTCATCTCAGTAAACAAGAAGTTAATGCCCTGAAATTTGTTTAGAGTTACAAGAGTTTTGTGGGAGATTCACCTGCACATGCTGTTTGAACCCAAAAGCAGCAACTAGCACAAGAAGAAAATCTATTTGTATATTTGCAATCTACTGCCTAATTTAAGAGATGGAAAGAGCATCATCTACTTGTTTAACAAAAAATATTAAAATGATAAAAATAATCACAAAACCAAGTAAAGATTAATGACAAAAAAAGTATAAAGAAATAGGTGTTCTAATCATATTAACTATCAACAAATGCTAGGTGAAATATGTGATTACCTCTAATGTGAATGAGAGGACAACATCAGACTTTGATAGCTGAATCTCGTTTTCATCTCCTATGTCCAAGAAAGCAGAATTCTGTGATCGTTTCAACTTTTGCAATTTAAATTCTGGCCCACCTTTGGACACGGGAAGACTTTCCAGATTTGCCATAAGCAAATTCACTGAAGACCGCAACTCTTCTATGTACATGTTCTCCATTTCTCTTGTTACAAATTTGGGGAATTTTCTTTCCTTGGAAGATATATTTTAAAAGTTAGGGACAAAAAATCACTAATGATGACACATGATACATTCTGTTAAATTGCTCTAACCTAGAGATAATTTATAATAATAAAAATCTTAATTCCAATATCTATTTTTAGCTCTTCAAAATAGTTATAAAATGCAAGTCCTGTCATACTACACAGCCAATAGTGACTAAAAGAAATGCAATTTGACTTCAGATTTCCAGCATATTCCTTATGAAGGTTTCAGAAAAATAAAGGGCATCTATAAAAAGCAATCTTTTCTCCCCTAGATTCATTCAGTGTTAAATCTAGGCTGAATATTTGTGCATACATTGTACATACGCCAGTGCATACATATTCATACAATAGTTTTAGATATACCTTTAATTTTACTTTCAAATATTTTATAAGGTGACAAAATGAATTGTCCAATAATCATTTTGACCATTGGGGAAAAAAAAAAAAAAGCTGTGGCAAAATGGAAGAATGACATAATTATATTGTTAAAAAACTCTTCCTCTTTTTAGAAGGCTTTTCACAGTGTCTTTTGCTGCATATTTTTTATAATTACAATCTTCCATGATTTAAGGCAGCACTAATGGAAGATATGAAGCACTGTCAGAATAAATGGAGACCTTTAGTTGAAACCTGTAAAACCTGAATGTTCAATTCACAGCAGAAGCTTTCCAGCATTAGCCACCTCTCTCTGTGAAGAAAATAAGTGAGATTCTTCCATAAGGACTCTGAGAATCTCTCTCCCCTCTCCTTTATTTTTTAAGATTGTCAACTTCTTGCAAATTGCTATCATATATAATATTTGAAATAACTTAGAGGCAGGACAAGAAGAACAGAATGAAATGTAGGAATGCAATTATGTTGATCTGAAAAGCCCAGACTTCCTAAAGAATTACACATCCCCCCTTGGCAACACTGGAAGTTTTAGGGTTTTGATTGCAACATTTTGAAACAGATCTAAAAAAAAAGTAAAAAAATGAGAAAGCTGCTCAGGCTGATAAATACACAAGCCTTTAGATCTGAGGTACTAAAATGGATTTCCTGATGCAGTTTCTAAAGACGAACAGCACTGGCCAGTCTCCCCATAAGATCATATAAAAATTATGTTAGAATAACAAAGCACTGATTACAATTGCTTGAAAATCTCATAGGGTGATCTATGCTTCTACTGCAATTATTTTAAATTTAGTCAGATAAAGACTTTTACACTTATATCAGCATATTTCTAAGATTCTTGCTTCCAATAGGTAAGCTATTTTTCTCCTTCAAATAAATTTCCAGTATATAATAAACAGTTTTTACCTCAAAAGTAGTAAGTAATGTATTATAGGAACCATGAATAAGGTATTAAAAAATACTAAATGCAACAATCTCTCTTTAGGTGTGCTGATCTTTTGAGACTTCAGTTTAATAACTCTCTTAAGGGAAAGTAGTCACTTAAGGCCAGTTTCCTTACCAGGCAAAAATGCTAGAATTTTTAATCCAGTAATGAAAAGGTTTTTTGTTTGTTTGTTTGTTTCTGAGCTTTGAGAAGACAGAAATGGTTCATAGTTCATTTTAAAACTTTTGATTCCTTAGGCTTGAATGACCTTCAAAATTCTCACAGCTGCCAAAATTAGGACAAGCAATAAAAGCAAAGTCCCTCAAAAAAATTTCTACATTCTAAATAGGTTTAAAAAATATTTATGAAAATTCTGATTGCTAACATGCATGTAACATGTAAGGCACAGTTCCTTATTCCATACAAAATTCTGCAATTGACACTGTGTAAACAGTGATAATCTTTAAGTGATGATTCTAGTAAAGAAAGAATAAAGACCTTTTTTTAAGGCTACACACATGTAGACATACTCTATACTTATATATGTATGCTTGTTGTTTGATAACTTTTGCAGCTAAGGGCAAGAAGGTAACAGAGCTAACAGAAGACTATTGGGTAACTTTGCTTATAACCACAGGCTTCACAAAAGATTGAAGAAACTTGACTTTAAGCAAAAGGATTCTTGTCACCAAACTTAATAGCATATGGTTGGGAATGATAGCAATTCTACCTGTGATATTTAATATAGGAACACTTAATCTTGTTTCTTAAAGTAAGATTCAAGCTGTAGGGGAGAAATATATATTTGCTTTTCTAAAATTTATAAGAATTATTTCTCATTTGCCTAATCACCATTACTTTCATCTAAGATTACTCATAAGCTTTGTTATCTGTAATTCGAATATGGCCATTAACAACATAGACTATATAAGTATATCGTATATATATACACTTAGAAAGTATATCATATCACATGCAGTATCTTTTTTTAATATAAGATGCAAACTTTTATAACCCTGAGCACAGTAGAATACATTTTTCTGAATAAAAGGTGGCTTGCTTTAGCTGCAAAACACATACTCCCAAAATTACAAATAATCTGTTTTACCACTAGACTTGTTGATGAAGGGAAAAATTGATTAAACAGTATATGTCTTTTCAATGGTTTACTTTCTCCTTACCCCTATTGCCATATAAACTTCAGAGCCAGAAGGAAATTCATCTTGCAAACTGTTAGGCTTTCTTCTGCTTAGTTTCTTAATTTCAGAATCAGATTCTAGCAGATGCTAGAAGCACATATTCATGTGTCTCTAGCTTTATGTTCCCACTCACTCTCATATGAGGAGGTACCATCACTTTTGGTACCTAAAAGCAGCCACTTACCTTTGCCATTTGTTCTGCCAGTTGTAGACGTCCATCTAGTTCACGTCTGATCTGGGCTGCTTGTTCATCTGCATTATCCAGCTTAGGCAGAAAACAAAAATAAAGTTGACTGTGACAAACATGCACTATAGTGTAATTTTATATCAACTAATGTAGTTAAAAAATAGAAAGGAATTACATACTTTGCCTTTAAATTAACTTTTAAAGTTAATAAAGCACTATGAAAATGTATAGCTTTGCACCTTACCAAAATGGTACAGGCCACCAGTTTTCCATGACAGTCAGTGACTTGGGGCGACAGCTGGTGTTCCATTGAATTTTTTATACTCAACTAAATAGAAGTAACGTGTTTTTTTTTTTTTTTTTTTTTTTTTTTTTATGAAAATAGCAGTTGAAAACATTTCTCCACGAAGCAGAAAACTGGACTGACAGACCAGGTTAGAAAATGCAAGAAGGAAATTTTGTTCTTTAGTCCCATAAGTTTCCATAAGAGTAGGCATGGGGAAAGAAAAACTGTGTGGCTGTATTTCACTCTTTGGCCCAAACACTGGCCAACAGCTCAGAGTAAAGCATATCCCATTTACTGAACTTCGAATACACAAAAGAACACAAAGGAAAGGCTCATGAGACACCCTCTGATGGCAGTCAGGGAGTAAGAGGAGGAAGGCAGCATTTCTTCACCTCAGGAAGAGAGCTGGCTCGCAACAAGAAGGAGCCTCCCTAAGTCATTTGTCACCTGCTAAATTGTGAGAGGGGTGGAAAAAAAGCCTAAATGAAGTGGTTTCTTCTTCAGGGGGAGAAAGGCCCTCCCGGGACAGCGCTGCGTATGGGATCCTCCCCGAAGGCTCACTCCATTCCTGCCACAAGTCACCGCTGGCACAATGCCAGATGCTCATCTGATCCTCTGCATTTAGCATGCAGCTGAGGTTAAAGGCTACATGGATTGTTCTCCATTAAAAAACAATCTTAAAGTGATTAGCGATAAAATTTGGAGAAGAGCAGTCCTCTTTAATTAGATGAGCACTTCAGCTAAAGAATACAGAATTAGTTTGCCTGGAAAATGGCTGATTACATCAAGCTAAGCTTTTTAAGACTACTGTTCAGTGAGACAGGCCCATATATAATACCATTTCCCCTGAGACACTCCTCTGCTAAACCCGGTAGAACTCATTGAACCAAAGCTGTCTTGAAAATTGAGCATTTCTTTCTTTCAAGATCCAATAAAAAGGGAATAATTAAAAATACACTATCCAGTATTTTAAGGATCCTTCTACGCAATCAGTCTCACCACATGTAGAAACAGGATAGTTGCTGCTATTATGTAAGCCATGACAAGACCCCTGCAGATCCAGATTACCAGAAAACAAGAGAACAAAATGATCATTTCTCCAAACTGGAGCACAGGGGATGGATCATGAAGGGCCCTTCCATTGGGTTTGCCTCAATCTCTGGGCCCAGTTTGACTGTTAGCGTAAATGGCAAGAACATTCTGGATTAAAGCAAATATTTGAGGTTTAACAATAAACTCTAAATATTGTACTTTTGTTTCTTCATAAAGTTATAAGAGACTGTTTATTGAACTTGCTAGTAAGTTCCTAACTTCATTTTATTATTTTAAGCATATCATTTTTACAATTATCTTTATTTTTTTCAGTGAAAAGGGAAAGAAAATGTTCTCCCTTTTCATCAAAAAGAAGGTGAACACTATGCAAAGGAAATATCCCAGGATGATCAACTGTGTGAAAAATATGTTCTTGATGGAATTTTGATGACAGAATTATGATTTCTGCCGAAGGAGAGTAGAATGAAGTAGAATGAAATCAAAACTTTACTGCTTCAGGGTGCACTTTTTATGACTATTATAAACTTGGTTGAAGAGCCAAAGCCTTTGTTTAAAGACTGATATCCATTTACTTATTTTTCCATTTAAAATCATTGGAAATGAACATTTAAGTTCTTGGATTTGTAAATCTTAGCATTTTTTTCATTAACTGTTTATTGCTTCCTCTTATTTGTTTAACTCTTAATGTCTTCAAAATTGTGGAATTTCTCTATTCCTTTGTTTTTAAACTTCACTTATTTTCCTCATAATATTTATTTATATATTTTAATGCTGCTAACTATTGTGAAGTATAGAAAAAAGCTGAAAATGTGAAACATTAAGGAACATTGTTTTACATATATAAAAACAAGGTAAGAATGGCAACCATAGTTACTCATCAGTGTCCTAATACTATGTAAAGCTGTTGATAATAGACAGTATGCAAAACTAAGTGACAGTCAGAAGATCAGTAACCTTGATATCACACTCCATTCAAGCTCATTCTATTTATTTTTATTCTAAATTCAACAAAATTCATAAAAAAAAAACTTTTTAAGCAAAGAAATCAGTGATTATGAATAATTAATCAGAATTTAGATGCCTACTGACTATGAAGTTACAATAGAAAGAATTATTATGAAAATGCAGACAGCAGCTGGAATTCTTGATCTTGTACCTTTTTTTCTGTTAACATATTGAAAACAGTGGATACAACCCACAGTACACGTGGGAAATAGTGCAAGGGGTTAACATCAAGTGCGTATTTTTCATTAACTCTGTATTCCTAGATCAAACATAGCTATGAGTACATGGTTAAGACACACTATTGTAGTAATCCTCAGATTCTAGATGAAAGTTGGGAAAGCACACAACACGGCTCACCGAAACTGATGCAAATGTAACATTACAGAACAGCAACTCAGGGATTTTTTTTTCCTCAGTATTACAACAGAAATTTGGCTAAAAAAAAAAAAACAGTGATTTTAACAGGTTAGAAATCACTTGAAATTCAAGCAAAAGTTTTTTAAAAAATGGGCAGTCACATGGCATTACATAATGTTCTCAACATCAGATCTGAAAGCATGCTTTGAAAACAAACACAGGTTTACTGAAATCCAGCTACCTTCCACCCTTTATTGCACAATCACATTATTAGAATGATCTGCTTTCCAAATAGCTCGCTACAGCAGATTTGAAGGAAATTATTTATTTGTTTAGACTGAGTCTAATGCTGCAGACACAAAACAGGAGCATAAGGATCACAAAAGATAGAGGTTGAAAAAAAAAAAAAGCCCTGGAGATTATTTTTAGAGGGGCTGTGTATGACACCCATTTAATAAAGCCATTTCAGCTTTCTGCTGGAGGAGTAATTACTCCCTATAGCTATTCATTGGATTCATTGCCTTTGCCACCCTGCTCCTGTTGCTTAGACCTCACAAAACCCACAGTTGTGTTACTGAACAGCAGGAGGTTGACTACCAAGATTCTACAGAGATTTGTCTTCAGGGTGACATACACCAGAACTACTGACGCAGGGAGAGCAATCACTGCTCTCCCTAAACATTATATAACTGGTCCCTGAAACTCATAACATTTAGACAGGCACTGACTCCCACTTTGGGGACTAGATAATTCAGAAGGGAAAATTATCAATCTCGTAAGAGCATGAGGAAATTTGAGTGGTATCTGCCTTCTGAGTAAGATAGCTTTGTCACTTGTGTCTTTTCTCTATGCAGAAGATTATTATTTGCATTTCAAAAGCTTCTTCAGACAATTCTATAGTTTCAAGTGACTATACTTGAATGGTTAAGAAGCTACTTTTCACTCAAAAAGGAAAAAAAGAGGAATCTCATCACACTATTGTCCCATCTTATTTTTCAGTGGTGTCATATAAAACAGCTTCATAAATTAAGCATGCCACTCCTAGACTTCAAGCTATTCATTTGCAAATGTTTTTATCTATTAATAATATGGTACATATTTACATTTAATTTTATGTAGTACATCTTGTACACAATAATTTACTAGGAGTTTTGTCATTTATAATTAATATCTCTGACAAATCCATTAACAACCATTCTAGTACTATGAGTAATCAGCTTGAATGACTCCTGAAAAGCTATTTGGAAACAATATTAAATATATTAGTTAAGAGATTTACTAGGTAGCACAGAATTTCCTAGTATCACCAAACTTAGGAATTTTACATCTTCTGAATCCTCTTGCTATTCTGCAAATTAATAGGGAGCAGAGCAGTAACAGATGGACAGTAAACAAGCAGGCACATGCTTGTTTAGGATGGGATTCAGCTCTGCACTGTAGCTCTTAAATTTCGGTGTACATATTTAAAATAGAAATCTCAGCCCTCTATAAGTGATAGACAATGGAGCCATGGATAGGCCAGAAGACAGTTAAGGGAGCTATGAGAACATCTACAGCAAGTACTGAGATGCAATAAGAAAATATTTATAGAGCAAAAAAGTTGGACACCTGGCCAAAAAACAAAAAGAAACAAAAACCCCCCAACATATTTCAAGGTTTTTATCTCAGGCTAAGTCTAGTCTCAGTCAGTAGATTCAATGCTCTCTAGTAGGCAGTTGGCACCTCTGGTTTAGCTTCATCCACAAGTAGTTCAGCTTGCTCACTCAGGCACTGATCCACCATGGAAACTCTGATTGGGGATGACTAGATATGTTTCAAAAGAACGTATATAATCTCAACTGTTAAAAGCGGATGTCACTCTGAAATTGAATTCCATCCTCATTTTTCCATACACACTCATAGACGGGGTAAAATAAAAGTCAACACATTGGTTGGGAACAAATTAATTTTTCATTGGTAACGGGTCCTCACCTGGAGAAAAATAATAATAAAAAAAAATGTGTGGAACTTTTTAACAAATCAGAAGTAGAAGGTGGTTTATTAGGACATACTGACACTAAAAGTAGTGCATTGCATATTCCTGAGTTATCTCCAAAGAAGCATACACACGTACCAGTCTGCTGTCACTGAGTCACCTGGCTCACTGAGTTCTACCTTTCTAAGAGCTGGGACTTCAGCCAAAGGACTGCGCTCTGTAAACAGCTGTACCACTGCCTGAGCCCAGCACTGCACTGTGCCTCCTGCTATATTTATTTATTTACTTATTTATTTATTTTAGAGATGGAGTGGTAACAGGCCCTAATATACAAATTGCTCCATATTTCTCATTGGAGGATGTTTTCTGCTGTTTATAACCATGTCAACTTCTAAGCTGTAG